CAGGGCATATGGAGGGGTGTCCATGAGCATCAAGACTGGAATAGGAGCCACTGTCATCTCTGAGTACCCTGGGAACTGAGGCCCTGGTTTGAAGAGCTATCCAATCCTCCTCTGGTTGCCAGAGAGGGACACTAAAGAAGGAAATGCACACTGCACATTCAGCAAATCAAGGCACCGCATCCAATTTGGAAAATGTGAACTCTGATAACACCATAAAGGAGTGAGTGGGGATGCTGTGGGCCTAGCTAGGGCAAAGTCAGCCTGTAACTCTCAGAGGAGGTGGTTTTGTGGATGAGCGGTGCAGTGGAATAAATGTCTGTGCTCTAGGCTTGGTGGGTTTTTTTTCCAAGGTCCAGATCTCTTGTTGGTCTTCTCTGTGCTCTGAGTAGTGATTCTTAACTGCCACAGTCTTCGTGGTGGTGAGGACTCTCCTTTGTGTTAACTCTGGGACATATGACTCAAGCTTTGGCTGAGATCTCTGGCCTGGAAGAGGGCTCCTCCCTCCCAGGAGCTGTTCAGAAGCCCCCAGTCTGTGGGGTGACCCAGCAGAATGCTCCTCAGTCCTGGGCCATTTTTAGTCCCTCACCTGGGGCTGGGGCTGAGGGGTGAGCAGAGCCTCAGGGCTAGTGAGGTGCCGCTTATCTCTCATCATAAGAGCCTTGGCCCCACAGCCTCAGGGTGCAGGCCTTCTCACCAAGCATGCCTTCTACCACCAGTGTGGACTCGTACAGCTCGGTGCTCCTGTGGCAGCAGGTAGGGCTAAGGTCAGGAGGGCCCTGGGCAGGGGCCCCCAAGCTTTGGTCAGTCTCGGGGAGTCTGGGAGAGGTCGCACCTGGGAGTGAAGAACATTTTCAGGGTGATGGAGGTTGGAGGAGCATTGGTGGGTCGGGCTCTCAGCAGCCCACTGCTTGGGGAGACCCCAAAGGCCTTTGCCTTCTTGTCCGTCTCCTGCTGTGCTGCATCAAGAGAAAAGGACACAGGCTCCTTGTACTGTCTGGGAAGACTCCGTGTGCCCCCAGGCCTGCCCTGCCTCTCAGGTGTCACCTCTGGTCTTGCCAGGACCACAGAGCAGGGCAACCCACGTACCACTTGGCATTGGTAACTGGCCGTCTGTGCAGGAATGACAGGTAGTGCCAGCCCTTAGGTGCCCACCTGCTGGGAGTGGACACACAAGCCCCTTCCTGGGCGGCTTGGCACAGTCTCCATGATGCAGTGAGCGGGCAGGTAGGAGGGCACGACATACCCATCAGCACAGTCCAGTAGCTCTGGCAGCCACTCAGGTTCAGCAAGTCAACCTCCTGGGCCTGCTGCTGGTTCACAAAGCAGGTCCCAAAGTCCACGCAGCTGGTAGAGAGCTGCAGCTCAGGCATGGCCACGATGGCCCACAAGGGCACCACCTAGGGGACAAAGCCTTTGCCTTGGCAGGGGGTAGAGTGACACTGTCCACTGTGGTGGGGCTCTGAGCTGGGGACATTGAGACACGGGGAATCTTACTGGCCCCCAGGACCCAAGGCTGTAAGCTGAGCAGGGGGAATCATAGAATAGCAGGTGGCAGAAGGCTGGCACTACCATCAAAAGCCACACTGTGACAGGCCAGAAGGAACCCTCCCTGCTATACAGCTCTGTGCTCAGCTCTCCTGTAGGTCAGCCTCCCTCCTTGTCACAGGTACTTTTCTTGTTGCTGAGACAAAATACCCAACACCCAAAGATAAAGGTGGAAAGGTTTATTTTGGCTCACAGTTTGTAGAGATTTCAGTTCAGAGTTGGCTGGTTTCAAGGCAGGCTGGCAAAGGGGACAGAGGAGTAACAGTTCAAGGCTGGCAGATGGCAGGAAGGCAGCAAAGTAGCAAGGAAGCAGCAACAGCCTGCCTCTTCCTTTTATCGCCTCCAGGTTGCCTTCCCTTTGGGTAGTGCCTCCCACATCCAGGGTGGGTCTTTCCATTATCCACATCGAGAACTGTGCCAAACCAATCAGGGGCTAATGTAATAATCACACACCTTTAATTCCAGTACTACACACTTAATCCCAGCATCACACACAATAAATCCAGCCACCTCTGAAAAGCCCTACCTGGCACAACTCTGTGGCCTTCCCCCAGCTGCAGGAATTGCTGGGACTTAACAGGTCACAAAGGCTAACACTGGTCCTTTGTGTGGCTGTCCCTGCCCTTGGCTCACCTGCCATCAGAACCCTTCTCAGAGATGGCAATGGTCACTTGCAGTCCCCGAGGCTTCCCAGAGATGCCCAGGGGCAGTGGCTTCTTCATGCCTGACACGTGACAAGGGAGGGCCAGATCGGTCAGCTCGTCCTATGAGAAAGCCCATCCAAGGATGAGACGCAGGCTTGGCCTCAGGAGATGGGCCCAGACAGCCAAGTGGCTCAACATGAAGGCCTTGCCTTCTCTCCAGTGTGGTCTCTGAGAAAGGGCCTCCAGTGAGCCGGCCTCTCGACTGATACCCTACTCCCAACAGGCCTCGTTCCTTCCCAGGCTCTATGGCTGTCTGAGTCTGCCCCAGACATGCCTGCATGAAAGAAGGCCTCAGAAAGCAACCCTGGAGAGGAGCACGTTGTCTCTGATGAGCTGCTACTATACACACCAAACCCTTTCTGAGTGGGGTCCATTCCACATCAGGCCTGGGCCCATCTGCCTGACATCCGAGAACTCGGGCTCAACTGTGTAAGAAGATTCACTGGCTCCATGTTTGCCATGGAGGAAATGGAACCTGTATCTAAAAGTATCAGCAAGGAAGAAGTCTCTCCTCTCAGAAGAACCACCCAAGTACTGAGTGTGTTCCGCCCTGATGGCTTTCCTCCGGGACACCCCACTGAACAACTATGACTCTCCTGGGAGGACACTGGCCATCAGTTAGCCTCCCTCGGTCACACCCAGCACAGTGCCTGCCTCAGCAGCAGCTCTGTCCTGGATCTCTTGGAAAACCCAGTGGCCACATCTCAAGGCACATCCAGGCCTGCTCTAGTCTCTGCCATTTTGTCCCTAGTAGTAGGGGACTCTAGTCCCAAAAGAAAGATATCCCTTCCTCACTCACAAGGACCTGGTGCAGTCTGAGGTAAGCCTTCTCCAGAGACACAGGTGCAACCCACTGGCAGGATGCCTTCCCAGTCTCTGGGGCTCCACATGGCCTGACTCACCTGAGTATGAGCGGTGAACTCCAAGATGAGCTGGTGCTCTTCACTAGGACCCAGCAGGCCACCTCTAGGGGAGACTGTCACTGTGCAGAAAGCTGCTTGGTTCCCCAGGAGCTGGTAGACACAGGGGTGGAGCTGTTGTGTCCTGCAGGGCTCCCGGAATGGACCAGGACCCAGACAGAGTGCTCGTTGGAGGCTGGCAGACTAGCAGCAACGGCAGGACACAGGACTGGGAGCTCACTTCTAGCATAAACCACAGGTCCCTTCTCTCCTCCCGTCCCTGGGTGGACTTCACCACCTGTCAGGGCATTGGCTGGACTCAATAAGCTGCCCTGAGACCGAGAGACCCAGAGTGATGGGAGCAGTGGGCAGCCGCTGCTGGTGCACACAGATGTGGCCTCGTCTCCCACAGCACTGAGAGTAAGTTCCACAGGGGCAGTGCCATGACTGAGCCACAGGCTGTGCTGCGTGGAGGCCCTAGCTGTGCTCATGAGAAACTCCTTCATGGGCAGGGAACTGGGATTCTCTAAACACAGGGCCACGAAAAGCCAGGCCAGTTGTGCTGCTCCTCTGTGGAGCCGAGCTTTTCTGGGCACCGTGGAGGGAGGGACTGGCTGTGGGACAGAGGCTGAACACCGCTCCTGCCCACCCTGAAGGGGCCACATGGGCCTGTGTTGCTGAGGGCCGCCGTCCGCTGCCCAGCAGTGCGGGCTCCTCACCTTGCCCCAGTGGAACCGGGTGGGGAGGAGTGTGCTGTTGGCGAGCGTGACGGTGGACTTCGTGGGCACATCCTGGTAGAGGCTGCTGAGCTCCAGCTGGCTGCTCTGCAGGTACACATGTGGCTCCTGTATCTCAGCATACACGGCCAGGTATCTAGAACACAAGCAAATAAAAGGCAAACTGATCAGAAAGGAAGAAACAAAACCGTCCCTCATGTGATGACGGTGTCATCCTGAAGAATCTATATTTTCTTAAAAAACTCCTAGAACTATTTCAGCAAAACCCCAGGGTACAAGATCAACACATAAAAATCAACCACATTTTTATACACTAATAATGAACATGTGGAAACAAATTTAAAATACAGTTCTATTTATAATTACTCTAAATTGAAACAGGTACGAGAGAAATTGTATGGTGACTAACCCTCCCGTACCAGTTAAGCTGGACTTTTTTCTTGCTTAGATTTAAAAGATGCTTTTTTTTCTGTTTATGCCTTGCACAGATCAGCCAGCCCATTCTTCCTCAGGTGTTCTTTGTCATGAAAGTATCTTATTTATCCGTCAATTTTGAAAGACAGTTTTGTAGGGCACATCAATCTGGGCTGGAGGTTGTTTTCTTTTAGGACTTGAAACACTTTACTCCTTCACTTAAGGGGTTTGTGTTGAGAAGTGTGCTGTGATTGTGATGGGTTTTCCTTTATAGGCGATTTGTTTCTTTTCTCTAGTAATTTTAAGTATTCTCTTCTTGTAGTAAATTTCTAGAATTTCTAGAATCTTGATTATTATATGTCTTGGTGTAGATTTATTTTGGTCATGGCTATGTGGAATTGTAAATGCCTCACTGATATGTATGTCAATAAGTTTTCTGTCATTCTTTCTGTGGAAAGGTTTTTAAATGATGTTTGTACTGTCTCTGGCTTGCTCACTGATTCAGATTAATCTGTCGATCTTCTTTGCATCATCTTGCAGCTATTGGACTGATTTTTCATGGTCCCTTGCTATTTTTCTTTTATTTATTTATTTTGGTTTTTTTGAGACAGGGTCTGTGTAGTTGAAACTGACCTGGAACTCACTATGTAGCCCAGGCTGGTCTCAAACTCACAGCGATCCTCCTGCCTCAGCCTCCCAAGCGCTGGGATTACAGGCATGCACCACCACACCAGGCTCCCTTGCTATTTTTAAAATATCTTTCTTTCTTTTCTTTCTTTTTTTTTGTGGTACTAACCACACTCCTGTCTTCTACATCTGGAATCCTGTTCTTGTTTTCATTCAATTGATTGGATATACTATCAATGGAATATTTAATCTCCTGGATATCTGTGTGAATCTGTTTCATAGATTCTGTTCCTTTGCCATGTTGGGCATTCATGGTTTTCATAATTGTCCTAAACGCCTCTATTGGGGGGGGCAGTACCAAGGATCAAACTCAGGACTTTGTGTTTGCAAGGCAGGTGTAGGACTCCTCTCTTTTTAAAATGTGTGTCTACTCTAGATTTATGAAGCATGTGCTTCATTTTGATCATCATTTCTTTTCTTTCTTTTTTTTAAACCTGAGAGATTATTTTCCCTATAGCCTCATATGGCTTCTGATTTCCTCTATCTTGTTGTCCCCTGGAATTGTCCTCAGTGGACAGGTAACTCAGTAGACATTTTGACCAGTATCTTCCTAGGTTTAGATTGTTCTGGATATCAGAGAGCCAAGAGCCATATCTCAATATTGTTGCTCAACTTGTTTACCCTTCCCTTTTACCTCTCTCCACACTGTTTTGAAGTCATCACTGTTTCGAAGTCATTTCACTTCTCAGGCTGAACCTAGTTGACTTTCTAACCATATACTATGGTCACAGGTGTTTGTACTTGCCTGACATCTTGTCTACATCTTATGTATCTGTCTCTCAATAAAGTTGCTTGCTTCTGTAACTGATTTCTGTCCCAGCTTTCATTCAGCAACAGTGTGGGCACATAGTGTAGGATCATATGATAATAATTGAAACCGAGAAGGGTAAGAAGCTGACATATCGACATTATGACATTACCCTTGGTTACTTTCTTGAGGCTGAAGCCCACTGTGGGTATCAAATCTTTACTAAATTGACTTGCACACTTTTCTAGTAACAGCACTGTTTCCGTGTCCACTTTAGTAAATATTGTTTAGTGACAGCAACACTGTGATTAAAGAAAATGTTCCAGACAGCCATAATTCTTAAAGAAACACATTACAGTACTTGTTAACATAAACACTTATTTTTCCATTAAAAAAAGAACATTTTTTGAACGAGGTTATTTTTCACATATTTTGTTAAGCTAAAATAGAGAAGCCTGGCATGACAGTATATTCCGGTAATCCCAATAATCTGTCAGGCCGAAGCTGGAGGATCATAAGCTTGAGCTCAGCCTGGACAACTTAGTGAGATTTTTGTGTACAAATAAGAAAGTAAGTACGTAAATGGCGGTGATGCAGCTCAGCATAAAATCCCTGAGTAAAATCCCCAGTACCACAAAAAAGAAAGCAAACATATTTTATTAGAAATAATTATCAAAATTTATAAATATTCCCACCTATACACACATTTTCAACAGGGCAGAAAACCAGAAGCTTCCATTTTCTATTTCAAGCATTTAAACTTTTGAAAATAAGTGTTAGAGTTGACTGTTGAATTGTTTTTCTTTCTTTTTTTGGTACTAGGGATTGAACTTTGGGACCTTGTGATTGCGACGCAGGTGGCAGAACCACTTAGCTAAATCCCTGGCCCTAACAAGTTTTTCTTAATAAAGCTGCTGAAATATTTTGTCTTAAAAAACTTCATTTTATGTAACCAATTTTATTCTCTTTTTGGCTTCCAATCCTAATGTCCTATGTCAAAAACTCAATATCTTATAATAGTATCTGTATGAATTTTCACACCTAAAGTATTCACTACCTAGAATTTACTTATAAAATTGAAGTTCACTTCCAAACTGAAAATTAATAATCAGTCCATCACTGAATTAAAAGCCCACTTCTTCCCAAACTACAGCAAGTCTCTGATTGATGAATATTTGAGTTGCAAAATTTCACAGGTGTAGTGAGAACTTTGACAGAGATACTATATAAAACTCTATTGGATTTGAGAACAAATCAGATGAATGTTTTCCAAGAATGGAATTTGTTCACATTAGGGAATTATTGTAAGTAGGACTTATAGGCCAAATATCATATAAAGAAAGCTCTAATCTGGGTCTGCAATTCTTTTTTTTTTTTTTTTTTTTTTTTTTTTTTAGTGGTTTTA